TCATTCTTATGTCCACTCTATTAGGTGGATTACACAGGAAGGGTCATAGCTGAGCCTGTTTCTGTAAGATGAATAGGAGTTATTCAGAAGGGAGAAGGAAAATAGAGACAAAGTGCTTAGTGTGTGCAAAGGCATAGGAACATAAAAATCATGGATGGTGGGAGGAGTATCATTTGGTTTTGGTAGAGAATCTGAGGTACTAGTAATAGATGAGGCTGAACAGCAGAGTACAGCTCAGGAAAGAGTTTTGTCAATCATGTTATAAAACCTGGATTTTTCAAAAAAGGCAAAACAGAAGCAATGAAGTATTTCATACAGGGAAGGTTTGTACTTTTGAAGTTTCTTGGCTGAAACATCAAGCATCCATAGTCCTCAATATTTATTACTATTGAAATTATCTTTACCATTAGTTTCTGTGACACTATAAATAATTTCTTAATGTGTTTCCCTTTTATAAGCCACTCTGCCTATACCTTCTGTGTGTCTACGGCCATACCACCCTGAACGCGCCCGATCTGTGTTGATGAACAGTACTAAATCCTTCTCTCCATTTTTCTTTTAGAAAGAGGTTGTATTTGGCAGTGCTCAGGGCTTACTCCTGGCTCTGTGCTCAGGGATCATTCCTGGAAGGGCTCACGGGACTGTGTGGGGTGCTGGGAATTGAACCGCGGTCAGTTATGTACAAGGCAAGCACCTTACCAGCTTTACTATCTTGCCAGTCCCTCTTTTCATCTCTAACTTTCTCTAAAGAATGGTGGTCATACACAGAAATGAGTTCCAAGAATCTCTTTGAGTTGTGAATTATGCCGCTAATTATTCAGTGGATGCCTCATTTGAATATTCCACAGTCATCCATCATCAGCCCTATCGGTTTATAATGGAGCCAATTATTTCCCCTTATCTGCTTTATCTCTTTTAATTCCTATTCCTGACCTTCTAGTCCAAACACCTATCATTTATTATCATTGTATATATTAATATGGCACTGTGTGTGTGTGCCTGTGTGTGTGTTACTTTCTTTTTTGTAGTGCTAAGGACTGAAACCAGGGTTGCACATATGTGTTGAGGCATTATTAAAAACAATGAGCACAAGGGTTAGGTGGGTTCCCCTCCCTGCCCCAACAGAGCCCCGGCAGCCAAAACTCTCAGAATTCAATCACCGCCATGCTCATGGCCCATCTCCACAGGCTTGACGAACCTTTTTTTTTTTTTAAATGTTTATTAGTGAAACACCATGAGGTACAGTTGTAGACTTACAAATTTTTGTGCTTGGGTTTCAGTTATACAATGATTGAGTACCCATCCCTCCACTAGTGCCCATTTCCCACCTCTAATGTTCCCAGCATCCCATCCCTCCCAACCCCCCAAGTCCCCATCCCACCCCACCCCTGTGGAAGGGCATTCATTCCCTTTTGTTCTCTCTTTCCTTTTGGGTGCTGTGGTTTGCAAAAGAGGCATTGAGTGGCAATCATGTTCGGTCTATAGTCTATTTTCAGCATGCATCTCTTACCCGGGAGGATCCTCCCAACACCCTCTACTTGGTGCTCCCCTCTCTATCTGAGCTGCCTTCTCCCCCAGCATGTGCGACTCGCTTCCAAGCCATGGAGTGAACCTCCTGGTACTTATCTTGGCTATTCTTGGGTGTTATTCTCCCATTTTGTTACTTTATATTCCCCAGATGAACGCAATCTTTCTATGTCTGTCCCTCTCTTTCTGACTCATTTCACTTAGCAATTCTTGAGAAAAAGACATGGGGAGGGATTACCCTCTCCAACCTCAAACTCTACTACAAAGTGGTAATAATAGTGTTCTCGACGAGTCTTTTCCTCGAGTGAATCTGCTGAAAAATAGAGGTATGTGGGACTTATGACTGAAATCTCTAGGCTCACAGGGTTGAGAATGGGCGACCTCCCGTCATTTCCCTGTGCTTCAGGTAGTCTGGCAGTCATGACCATGAGCTGCCTCTGGTGCCATCTAAGCTCATTAACAGCCATGATTCAGAGACTCACAAATAAATCTCTCAGAGGAGAGCAACACAGAACGATATGCCATAGATATGCTTCTGAACTCCAAAGTCCCCATCAAAGTTTAAAAAATTAAGTTCGCCTCAGCTGTGTAACCCCCCTCTCGGAGAGCCCGGCAAGCTACCGAGAGTATTCGATATGCCAGACACAGTAACAACAAAAGTCTCCATTGGAGACGTTACTGGGCCCGCTCGAGCAAATCGACGATCAACGGGAGGGCCTTTACCTTTACCTTTACCAGCTGTGTAATTGTATTAAAAATTTTAGAATTCCTGGAGTGATATCTCATACTCTACACCACTGATGTACCAGGAGTAACACACCACATTTGATGGGGTGTAAAGTAGAAGAGAACCAATCTTGGGGAGAAAAAATATGTATATTATATGTAAGTATATAATATATGAGCACACAAAGCTCAAACTTTAACAATATTTTAGTAATCTCTTATACAAGGGCTTAATGGCTCCAGGGTAAAATACAACAAGCCTCGCATACTTTTTTTTTAAATTTACACCCGGCGATGCATAGGGCTTACTCCTGATTCTGCACTCAGGAATTACTCCTGGAGGTGCTCCGGGGGACCATATGGGATGCTGGAAATCGAACCCAGGTTGGCTGCAGGCAAGGCAAATGCCCTACTCGCTGTGCTATAGCTGCAGCCCTAAGTCTCACATACTTTAAGGAAACATTTTTGGACCTCCTTTAGTGGATTAGTCATAACAAGCAATACAAAATAATTTATTTTGGGTCAGGGTTTTGGGGTCTGGGGAGACATTCAAAATCTGGAGGTGGGAAGGTGTAATGGAGGTGAGACTGGTGTTGGAATATTAAATGTAATAAATTATTCTGAACAGCTTTATAAAAAAATGAACACGAATTATTTGACACTCTTTTCTTATGGTGCTTCCTCTTTCCCCTTTGTAGTGGTTTCAAATAACAGTGGAGTTAATGGTGCTTGTCTTCTGAGGCTACTTCAATGAGAGGTCATGCAGTTTCCTTCCAGTCCTCTCAACATATTTCTTTCACTGTGGTTGTTTTGGAACCAAACCTCCACATTTTCAATAAGGAAAGCTACAAAAAGCTGTTATATCTTCTGACACTGAAATGGACATGAAACTGACATAACACATCCATGTAACTGGCACTTATATGAAGACTCCTACTTCCACTGTCAAATAATCCTTATCTCATTTGGGTTGTCCCAGTCCAGGAAGCAGGCATGTGAGTTAAAAAGCTGGCAGATGATTTCCAGCCATCAGTCTTATTACTGCCAGGTATTTGAGCTTTCCATATGAGGTGCCAGATATTACGAGAGACATGCCATTTCTGCAGTCTCTGCCCCCGCGCCTGGGTGTTCCTTCCCGGAGTCCCTTGGAGGGGAGCGGGTTGAGCTTTCCTCCCCGCCCCGACCAGGGCTACGGCAGCCGAAGACCTCCAGGACCAGCCACCACCATGCTGAGACCACTCTCCGCACACATGAAGGTACTGGCAGAGGGACACAGCCACGCGGGTTCCGGGGCCGAGACCTCCACGCCTACTCGAATTGGAGTCGAGCATCTTCCACCCAGCTCCTCCAAATTCCAGTAGGCGGGGGTCACACCCACCACCTGGCCCCCTGGCGCCGTGTAATCCCATCAGCGGCCAAGACTCAGAGACTATAAAATCCAGATCCCGGACGAGAGCAGTGCAGTCTCTGCCCCCGCGCCTGGGTGTTCCTTCCCGGAGTCCCTTGGAGGAGATTCGCGGCCGCGCGACATCTTATTATCTCATTCCTACTTTGGACAAACTTGCAGGCTATCGAATGTAGCCTGCCCACAGGGCAGAGTCTGGCAAACTCCCCGTGGCCTACCAAATATGCCAAATACCAGTAACAATGATGGGTCTCATTCTCCTAAAGAGCCGTGAATATAATCTCAGGGCTAGGATGAAAGAGACGTTACTGGGGCCTGCTCGAGGCAATCGACGATTAACAGGATGATGAAATGAAATGAAAAAATGCCATTTCTGCAGTGTTAGACTTTGCAGAATTCGTGATCACAATAAAATAATCATTGCTTTAAACCTCCAAGTTTGGGATGGTTTGTTACCCATGTAGTAATCAGAACAAACACAGATATGGAAAAAGAAAACCAAAACCAAAACCAAACCCAAACACCTTATAGGAAATCCAGAGGTTATATTTACATTATATTTAACGTATATTCACAGAAATCTGAACCTATACAATAATAATAATTTTAAAAAAGCAGTGCCGTAGCCTATGTCACCTCGTCAAAAAAAAACGAGCAAAGTGTTCATTTCCTATTTAGACATCTTTTATGTCACCTCAAATAAAAATGTCACCTCAAATACAAGAAAAATCAGATGCGCAGACAGATCAAGATCGCAAGCAGGGGCCAATCAGTCAAATAGTCCTTCCCCGAGTTGCGCACTTTTACAAGGTTCGGTCCACCTGCTCACTCCTCCCCTCAGAGCAGCCCGAGCGCGTTAACTCCGCCCCGTCCACGCCTGCGGCTCCTCGGCGAGCGCCACTCCGAAGCCGCAACCCCGCCCTCTCCCTTCCGGGCGGGCCTTTCGGGCGCAGTTCGCTCTCAAGCTCCGCCCTCCATGTGGCGCTGCCCCTTTAAGTCGCGTCCCGCCTTCGGGCCCGCCTTCTGCCCTCTGGTTCGACCTTCCCTCCCCAGGCTCGGCCTCCTCCCCGCCGGCCCCCTCCTCCCTAGAGGTCTGCCCCTATGACACGCCGGAGTCGTCCTGAGGGGGCGGGGCTTGCGCGGCGGAGGGGCGGGGCCGGAGGAGAGGCGGGTCTCCCCGCTTGGAATGCCACCGGCGGCCCCGCCCCTGCGTTCTGCCGTTGCTAGGAAACGAGCATCGACGCTCAGGTTTTGGTCGGGCTCAGCCAATGAGCTGGCACGCCACTGCTCAGTCGTGCGTCGCTGGGCGGTTACGTGAGGGGCGCGGGGGCGCGGGTTGCGTGTGGCGCGGGGCGGGGCGCGGCTGGTGCGCCCGAGGAGCGATGGCGGCGGCCTGAACTCACCTAGCACCGCCGTGGCGCACGGGCCTGGTCAGGGTCGGGGTTCTCTGAGTGAACAGTACGTACGGGCCGGAGGGCCCAGAGAGGCTGTGAGCGGCTGACGGGCTGACGGGCTGGGGAGTGACGGCACCGGGGTGGCCGACGGCCGGGGTTGTGAGGGGGAAAGGTTGAGGGGGCTGGCATGTGGTGAGGGGCCGGCGGGGTGTCTAAGGTGGGCGAGCAAGGTGAAGCCGAGAGGGTCGTGCACGGGTCAGGCGCTGCTTGCATGCGGGCCTCGGGTGCTTCCGGAGGTGCTGAGTGGAAGGGACCCGGGGACCCGGTTTAGGAGTGCTGGGGCTCTGGAGCGCAGGGACGCGGGGCACCTCTGGGACCCGAGTGAGCAGGGAGAGGCCTGCGCTGGGAGAGAGAGGGGCAGAGTCTGGGGCGAAGGCGTACCGGCGGCTGTGGATTTGCTGAGGGAGTTGAGGGCAGGCAGCCGCGGGGAAGGAAGGGAGTCACTGAGGCTTGGGCAGGAGGCAGAGGTCGGTTCTGCAGCCGCCTCCTGTGGATAGTGCTGCGCTGTGTTCGCCCTTAGGACAGTTGGGGTGCAAGTGTTGCGAACTTGTCTCCTGTGCGCCTGAGGACCAGATGGTACTTTGGGGGACCAAAATAAGACAAAACACCGAAGGCGTCGCGGGCGACCTGAGAATCTTTTCTTGGGTTTAGTCTTGCACAGGATGACCCCGGGAACCCCATTTATCCTATGGCCTTCCTCAGGACTGCAGACTTGCAGAGGGTGCACCGGGGGTGGGGTGGAGGAGTGGGGGGGGTGGGGTGGTGGTGGTGGTGGTGGTTCTCCCCCAACTGTCGTGCTTTTCTTATCTGGGCAGCTGGAAACGTGCTGCCGTCCTGCATCCAGGCGGAGAGGTGGGGGTGGTAGGTGTCACCTTATTGGACCGACCACTTGCCCTTGGTCATTCTTGCTATCTTGGAAGTCACATCACGAGTTACTGTCAGCAGTTTATCTAGGCTCCCGGACTGAACTTTGCCCTAGTTTTCTTATGTCAAGTTAAAACCGACAACAATTGAGGTAAATTTGTGTACAATAAACTGCTCATAGTTAACAAGGGTGTTTGGTGAGTTTTGACATGCTTATGTCTCAAAGCAGGCACCATTTTCAAGAGACTGAATAATTTGACTGCCCTGAAAAGTTTCCTGTTATAGCAATTTGGCCCTCCTTCCATCACCTGCGACTGGGTTCCCATTATTTCTAATTTACTGGTCCGCATCTGCCTGCTATCCCACAGGAGGAAGCTGAGTTAACATTCTGTGATCTTGACCCGTCCCATCACGAGTTTTCCTCTCCACCTGCTGGTCTGCCTCGGATCTAGGTCTTCCTCATCCTCAGGAGCAGTTAGGCCTTCTTATTCAAACTACCCACTGAATTAGTGGTAATACAGTGTCCCTACCTGTTCTGAAATCTTAGCTTCAGAACTAAAGATTCTGTCTTATGGTATGTTTTCATTGCTTCTTTTTGTGGATCAAACAGGTTTTCATGCTGCTTGCAGTTGGCTTAGGTGGTCAGAACACTAAAGCCTGCACATACTAATAGTATGGTCTAGAAACTGATTCCTAGAATGGGCCAAGGATGGCACCAGCTGTGGAGTTTTTAATTCATCCAAGGTAAAAGAAAAAGACAACATATGTAACATGAGTTTTCCACGATGAAAGATTATTGTTGCTATTCTTTGGTATTAAACTATTCTCATTGAGATGGTAACAATAGATGGTGGGTTTATTGATTTGGTTTTGGGCCACATCCAACTGTGCTTAGGGTTTACTTCTGTCTCTGTGTACAGAGATCACTCTTGGTGGGCTCAGGAGATCATCTGGGGGGCCAGGGATCAAGCTGCATGCGAAGCAAACACCTTAGCAATTCTATCTCTGCAACCCCCTTGATTGTGGGTTTAATAAAACTGTTATTTGTTAAAATGAGTAACAACCATTTTTAAATGTTAAAAAATAATTTCTGTAATTGAAAAGAGCACAGTAATCAAGGTACTTGTCTTGCATGTGATGGGCCCCAATTTGAACCTTAGTACCACGTTGTCCCCCGAGCATCATAGAGTGTAGCTGGAAGCCTTTGAGCCACCCCCTGAATGGCTGATGATCCCTGATACTGCAGAGCCTGAGCAGTTTCACATCCTTAACCCTTGCATGAATGTGTGATCCAGGTTGGATGACAGAGTCTCTGCAAGCCCTCTCCCCCATTTCCTGAGCATATCTGGGGTTCCCTGCCCCACTCCGTGCTCTTCCCCCATTTTTTCTGACTGGTTCATGAAATTCAGAAATTTAATGTGCTTATTTTGAGCAGAAATTCCCAAAGTTATTTGATCTGCCACCTTTTTTTTTTTCAGCAAAGAAAATTATTCTGCCCCCATCCCTCCAAAAAAGTCTACCTTCTTGAAGCGAACAAACATCGACACATGGTTGTACCCTAGGATTCTACAGGCATCCCCTCATTACCCCCCACCCCCCACCTCCATCTTTTCCAATCCTTTGTCCCCCTCCTCTGATAAGGACAGTACTGCCCACTTTGGGAAACACAAGTGAGGAAATGTTCATATACTAAATCTAGGGCGGAGCGATAGCACAGCGGTATGGCATTTGCCTTGCACGCGGCCGGTCCGGCCAAGCTGGGTTCTATTCCTCTGCCCCTCTCGGAGAGCCTAGCAAGCTACCGATAGTATCTCATCCACATGGCCTGGCAAGCTATCCGTGACATATTCAATATGCCAGACACAGTAACAACAAGTCTCGCAATAGAGATGTTACTGGGCTCGCTTGAGCAAATCGAAGAACAACGGGAGGACAGTGACAGTGACTAAATCTGTATAACCTATGATACCTGAATAGCATTTGAACTTTACATATGAATCACATTTTTACTGGATTTACATAGGTACCTTTGTCACAGGCATGGGAGGAATTTTTATTTAGATGAGTTGTTCAAAAGTTAGAGGTCACATAGTGATAATGCTGTGAAGTTAAACCCAAAATTTGTTTTTCTATGCCTGAGTAACTTAGAGAAGATTTTAAACAGAGAATGAAGGTGATGTCTAAAAGATACAATGTATACGAAGGGTTGTGATAGCATGGAGAACATTATACTGGTAGCATGTGTATTTTATGATTTGTTGCGGAGGGCATACTGAAAATGCATTTTTTAATAATTTGTAGTGCTGCTTTCAAAATAAATGAGACTTGGGGCTGGAGTGATAGCACAGCAGGTAAGGGTGTTTGCCTTGCACGTGGCTGACCCAAGTTTGATTCCCAGCATCCCATATGGCCCCCCGAGCACTGCGAGGAGTTATTCCTGAGTGCATGAACCAGGAGTATCCCCTGTGCATCTCCAGGTGTGACCCAAAAAGCAATTAAGAAATAAGACTGATGACAAAGCAAGGAAAGTTCTGTTTAGTATTTTTGCAGTGACATAGAAGTAGGATCACTTTGTAGCAGTGATAGGATTAGTCAAGTTACCTATCTAGAAACAGATATCAAGGTTTCTTTAGAACTGTCCAAGTTCTTTAATCTGAAGAAAGCACTGGTTTTGATAAACTTAATTGTTGTACTGAACTCTGTTGAATGGTAGTGCATAAGAATTTTGGGTTTGGCATATAGCTGTGTGGTAAATCTCAAGATAAAACAAAAATGGTGAAACATACAGAGGTGCTTTTAGGGTGTGACAGTTAAGTGCTGGGAGAACAGATTCACTTATGTATTCATTCAATCATCTTTTGTTCATTTTATAGTCTGCTCTTACCATGCTCCTTTTATGAATTAATTAGATAATTAACACATGGTTTTATTAGATCTCCAGGATTTTTCAGTCTGGTTGAGAAAGAGATGCTAGTAAAGATCATTTCAACTTAATGAGAGAATGTGGGGCTGGAGCAATAGCACAGCGGTAGGGCGTTTGCCTTGCACGCAGGCAATATGGCCGCCCTGAGTTCGATTCCTCCGCCCCTCTCAGAGAGCCAGCAAGCTACCGAGAGTATCTCGCCTGCACAGCAGAGCCTGGCAAGCTACCTGTGATGTATTCGATATGCCAAACACAGTAACAACAAAATCTCCAGTGGAGACATTACTGGGCCCGCTCGAGCAATTCGATGAACAATGAGAGGACAGTGACAGTGAGAGAATGTGAAAAAAATAATAAGATGATTCCTTCTCTAGTATCTGTCTGTTCTTATGTTCTAATCATATGTAGTTGGGAATCTACTTTGTCTTCACAGTTCTCTTTAAATCAACATATCCGAAGTAGAACTTATGCACAGTCCTTCCCTTGTGCCATATACTGTATCAGTCCAGGAAAGGACTTCAGTGTTATCCTCCATTTTTTCCCCTTGAGTTTCACCCCCTACTTTGCTCAGTTAACTAAACTTTTTAACATTTTCCTGTTATCTCATCATCATCCCTGCTACATCTCCACTTTAAGTTTTACATTTACATCTTCCTCATCTTGCATCTGGACTTTTCTTTTATTCCCGGCCAGTTTCTGCTTTCAAACTGGCTTTTTTCCTAGTCCATTCCTAGAATGATTTTCCTGAAAATACAAATCTGATCACGAAATTCCTTTGCCTAAAAAACTTTTGGCTCTTTGTGTTCTGTCAGACTATATCCAGACTCCTTAATGTGGCATTGTTTGTCCTCAACTCACCTCTCCAGCCTGGTCTCCTGCTATTCTCTAACTCTTTGTTCTAGTTGTTCTAGCTTGAATAAATTGTTCATAGTTCCCTAACAGACATGTTACTTTTTTGAGCCTTGAAATCTTTGTGGTAGCAGATTCCTGTACTAGGAATGCCTTTTCTTCTCTGCCCAGTGAACTTTCTCATCCTTTCAGATCTAGTTCAAACTGGCCTATTCTTTGACATCTTTGTCATTGTCACTCCACAGGGGTAGAGATAACCATGTGTGACATGGGGACACACTATTGTAAAGGGAATTCATCTTGTGCTAGAGGTTTGCATTGTAAATTACAATGCCAGTGTTAAGTGAGGAGATTCCTTGTAAGAAGCA